TGACTGTACTGACCTGGGTCACTCCAGACCCGCGTCAGTCAGGCATTGCAAGATCCTGCAAGTTTCCGCACGATCCTGCACGCTAGCCCTGGGTCAGTGCAGCCCTGGCCCTGCAAGATCCTGCACGACCCGGCGCTCTGACTGACCCCCGTTTGCATCGACCCCCGACTTTTGAGCCCCGAGCAGAACGGCGGCAGCTGGCGCCGACGACGCCGACGAACGGCAGCGGCGTCGGCGGGCGCCGGCGCGCGCGCGACCAGAGCGCGCCTGCCCCCAGGGAGGGCGCGCGCGGCGGCCGCGCGCGGCGGCCGCGCAAGGCGGGGCCGTCCCCCGCCCTGGAGCGGCTTGGGCCCGAGCGCGCGAGGGGGTGCTGCCATTGTGCTCGGCGGCGGCGGCGTCCGTCGTCGTCGTCTGCGTCGTCGCGCGGGCGGCGTTCTGTCGTGCTGTCTCGACGCGGCGGCGTCGTGGTCTGCCGCGTCCCCGTCGTCCTCGCGGGCACCCTCGCCATGGTCCTCCTCCTCTTCCGCCGTCTCTTTCCTCCTCCTCCTCCTCCTCCTCCTCCTCCTCCTCCTCCTCCCTCCTCCTCCCTCCTCCTCCTCCTCCTCCTCCTCCTCCCTCCTCTGCATCCCCGTCCTCCTGCTCCATCATTCTTCATGATGAGTACCAAATCTTCGCACCACTGCCAGACGCGATGTAGGGCCAGCCATTCGTTTTGCTTGAGGTTTCCTGACACATTCTGCATTCGAGAGTAAAGCCCAACGACAACTACATGGATAGATGGCGTCCCGATTTCGCCGAATAGACTCGTGTTTCAAACATTTGCGACTGACCCACGGGTGGAAAGCGCCCCGATTCCAGGGCGTGGATCTCGCCTTAGCTCCGCGACTGCTCGTCTTGAAAATGTGTGGTGGCCCGCGTTCAACCTGTGGTTCTCGACGTAGAGCAACGCACAATCTTCTTGAGATTCCAAAGCCGCTTGATGGCTGGAGACGAGAGATGGCCTTCGAAATCGGGTGTTCGCCTAGGAGCCGCGAACACTCGTCTCACGACTCTGCGACCACTGCACGCGCCCAGCAAATCGGTTCATGGAAAATGCGAAATGGCAAACAAACCCAAACTCGACCGTTCAACGTTACAGAGGCCATCTTGTCGGGTAAGCTGCGTTATGCTGCTGGATGGTGCTCGCGCGCACGAGTTCGCACTGGGAGCCGCACCAGACCCTGTGACCCTGGCGTCTCATTATCGTTCGAGCCAGGCGTTCTCGCGCCGTTTCGGGAACCTCACAGGTCGATCTGGCTGAAACAATGACGCAGAAAGGGAGGGATTAGGGCTCTGGTCGTGACAATCGCTTCCCGCGAGTGGTGGGCCCCTCGTGGGGAAACAAGCCCAGGCATACTGCCCAAGTACAGTCCTAAGCTCTCAAACGCATTGAGAAGCAACACGTAGGAGGCTTCCATGGGTCCACCTAAACAAAATACTTGTTTGCCATCAACATGATGAGGGTCTGCCAACTCGTCGTCGGATCCTGACGAAAATCCATCGGATCCGATCTCCTCCTCCGCAAACGAAGCAGCCTCCGCAAGGAGAGACGGTCCCAGACCGCCAGAATCGCAGGCGTGCTCGCAGAGGCGGAAGAAGAAGAGGAGGCAGCGGGGAAGGGGGGCCTGAGGCTTAGTGGACCCTGAAAGCGACAAGGCCGTTCTTTTACCGGTTCCGTTTTGCCATTTGTTTGCCGGTTCCGACGCCGTTTTTTACCGGCTCCGTCGCCGTTCTTGTTACGGGTTCCCGCTCCGGCTCCAATCCTGGAGCCGTCTTTGTTGCCATTTCCGGTCGCCGTTTTTTGCCGTTTCCATTTTCAAGGGACGCGTTTTCAGAAACGGTGAAAAAAAGGCCCTGCCGTTTCCAGGGCCCACTAAGTGGTGGGGTACGGCCCGACCAAGTTATGATATCGAGGCCGGCTCGGGGAGGGTGCCCTCACGTTCTTCGTAGTTCTCCTATGTTCTTGCGCGTCGGGGGGGGGGGAGGGGGCCCTCGAATGTGCTTCAGCTTGGCCGGCGGATGGTCTCAGGTTCTCCTGTCCGGGGCCCGAGGTGCACAGAGTGCACCAGCCACACTGGGGGCTGCGGCAGCAGCCCCCGGAAGAGCCCGCCCCACGAGAGGGCGAGCCGGCGCGCGCGGCAGGGCGCGGCCGGGAGGTGCCCCGCGGGGCCAGCAGAGACAGGGGCACACGCTTCCGCCTCCTCCTCCTCCTCCTCCTCCTCCTCCTCTGCCTCCTCCTCCTCCTCCTCCTCCTCCGCCTCCTCGACTTCGAGCTCGTCGAGGGAGGAGGCGGCCGCTGCCGCGAGAGCGGGCGCTCCAGGCGGAGAGCCTGGTGCGCTCCCAGGGGAGAGCGTTTGCAGAAGAAGCACAGTCGGGGCCTTGACCTAAGGAACCCAAAATAAGGAACGAGGCCCCTTCTTCCCATAAGTTAAACTCCGATTTCCCATCGAAACCCTGAGCAAAACCAAAGGCGAACTGCGAAACAACTAAGGAACACCGAGCCCCTCCCCAACGAAAAGGGTTCCTTCCTCAGGGCCCCGACTGTACCTCCTTCACCACCAGACTCCCCAAGGACGTCACCCGCCCGAGGGCTGACATGGCGCCTTCTGGGAGACGAGCAAGCAGCAGGCACCTGTCCAAAAACCTCCTCCCGAACAGCAGAGGGCCCACCTGCTGGCAAGGAGGGGGGTGGCAGGTCGGAAGCGGGAGCACTCCCGACAGAACGCGTAGCCAAAGACCTCTCCCCAACGACCGACTCAGCGACGACACCCCCCCACACCATGAACTTGGCGCCCAGGGCCGTCGAGCAAAAAATGGTCAGCTGCCTCCTCGCCTTCGAGCTCGTCCTCGAGCGAAGCAGCAGCAGCGGGCGGCTGAAGGCTGGTGGCAGGGTGCTCGGGAACAAAACCGCCCCTGCCAGTAGCTATCGAAAACGTCCATAGCGGGCGCTGGCGCAGCAGAGAACACAGACCATGGCCCTTGCTCCACAAGAACGCCGCCACTTACTGGATGGCGACCCTTGCAGATCGGGCTCCACTTGCTTTGACGCGCAATCCTGGTCGGGTCCTGGCAGGACTTACCCAAGCCAGCAATCCTGCCATGCGAAAAAATCAATATAAACAAGGTAAGACCACATTCAGGGGATGTCGAACTGGATTCGTGACGTAAAACAACACTTTGGACCCGACCTGGCTGCATTCGCACCCACGGGATACCATTGCCGCTGCTAGATTGAACCTCCTGAGGAACTGCACCTTACCCAATCATGCCCCAATTGGGCCCAAACAAAATAGCAAAGGCACCACCAGCACACACAGCCCAATGTGTGAATCGATATATATATATATATATATATATATGTATATATATATATATATATACGCATCTACATCTCAATGTATATGTATATGTATGTGTATATATATTTATATATATATATGAATGTGTGTATAGATGTGTTAGATCCACGCGCGCGATTCGCGCGCGCGCCCAGCTTCTAGTCGACACCCGAAGACCGGCACCCCGGTGCAGGGTGGGCGAGAGCCACCTTAGAGGTTTCGCAGGCCCTCTTGGGTGAACTTTTGGGGGCCTTCCGATGTAGTTTCGGTGTTCCGAGAACCAGGCCACGGAGGGGGAGGAGGGGGAGGAGGAGGAGGAGGAGGAGAGGAGGAGGAGGAGGAGGAGGAGGAGGAGGAGGAGGAGAAGGGGGAGGAGGAGGAGGAGGAGGAGGAGAAGGGGGAGGAGGGGGAGGAGGAGGAGGAGGAGGAGGAGGAGGAGGAGAAGGGGGAGGAGGGGGAGGAGGAGGGGGAGGAGGAGGAGGAGGAGGAGGAGGGGGAGGAGGAGGAGGAGGCCTCGCGCCACCAGAGAACGACCGAGGAGGGGGCACCAGCCCCCAGGGCGAGGCCGAAGAGATCACGACAGGGAGGGAACCAACAGGCTTCACGACGTCGAGCATCCGGGTGCGCGCATTAGGCCACCTCTCTTCGCGCTTGGCGCCGCGTGAAGGTGGTCATTTTCGAGTCCGCGCCTCGCTTCCTGGAGCAGAGTCGCTGCGCAATGCAGGCCGCAGGGCGCGAGAGAAGCCCCCGAAAAAAAATAGCTGCTCGGATGTTCCCAGAGAGGCCTCTGGGAACGTGGCCTCAGACTTTTATGAAGTAGGCCTCTCCGAACGCATACATTCGAAGGTGGTGGAAGAAGCCTCCAGGCACGGTGATCGGATGTTCCCGAAGAGGCCTCCAGGAAAATCCGCCGACCCCAGAGGCGCCTGAGGAGCAGTGCTTGTTACAGCCGCCGAAACCCCACCACGCCCCAGCACAAAACAGGGCTAGGATCGGGATAAATCGCTCCAGAGCGTTCCGGAGCGCTCTCAGAGCGCCCCGGAACGCTCTGGAGCGGCCGCGGCGCCCAATGCATCCTCCAACCCCGCCGATCCTCAGAGAGTTCGACTTATCCCGATCCGATTTCGTCCCGATCTTCGCGTCGTTTTTCGGGTCGGGCGAAAGGGGGGGATAGAATCAGCTCACGTAGCTGATTTTCCCGGCGCCTCCCGGCGCTGGGAGGCGCCAATGTATCGAGGAATTGACCCCTCGGTGAGGCCGAAACCAGCTGCATGCAGCAAATTTCGTAACCCCCCCTTTCCCAATCCCCCCCTTTCGCCCGGCCCGAATTTTACAGCACCCCCGCGCCACGAGAGCCCTCCTGCGCTCGATGCACCCGGGGCCCGGCCGACGCCCAGCGGCCGAGCCTCGGCTCCCCGAGGAGCTGTGGCCCGAGAGAGGCCCGCGCAGGGCGCCTCCTCCCCCATCGCCTCTCCGCGGGCGGGGCGTGCGGTGCGCCCCCGGCGCCTTTTCCGACCTCTGACGCGCGCCGGAGCCTGGCTCCTGGAGGGCGAGGAGGGGGAGGAGGGGGAGGAGGAGGAGGAGGAGGAGGAGGAGGAAACGGAAGAAGAGGAGGAGGAGGAGGAGGAGGAGGAGGAGGAGGAGGATGAGGAGGAGGAGGCGGAGGAGCAGGAAACGCAGGAGGAGGAGGAGGAAACGGACGAGGGCGACGACGATGAGGACGGGGGGCCCGACTCCTGCACCTCCCGGAGTTAGAGGCCTCCAGATGGGGTCGGAGTACATGGGGTCGGGGGATCGCGCCGCATCGCCGACACATCAGCGATGCATCGTCGACGTGGGCGATGCATCGGCGACGTCGACGTAGAGCAGATCGGGCTACACATCGAGCTGCATCGGCGATGCATCGGCGATGCGGCGCGATCCTCCGACCCCATCTACTCCGACCCCATCTGGGAGGCCTGGAGGAGTTCTTCCGGGGAGACGTAAGACTCGGGATCGGGGGACCTGCGGGGTTGACGGGGCCATCCTGAAAATGACGAGACCCGGCCTGAAACTTGGCGCGAGCTCCCGCGGCAGACGTCCCACGAACACTGGACCGTGCAGAGCCAGGAAGCGCGGACCCGAGGTCTGGCGCACGCGACACTCGAGTCTTGCGCGTCCCCGACTCTTCCCGTCAAAGGGCCCTGAAGGCTGTCCCGCGGCCCCCTCTCCCTGCCTGCCCTCCTGCCTTCCCCATTCACGAGGGGCGGGAGGGAGGACGAGAGGAGGAGGAGGAGGAGTAGGAGGAGGACGAGGAGGAGGAGGAGGACGACGAGGAGGACCAGTGTAAACCCAAGAGTCACCAAGGATCTTAGAATTCGCCGGGCCAACGGGCCAGAGGCGTTCTAAGATCTCCGGTAACTGGTTAACAATGTTTCTAGTTCGCGCGCGCGGGGCGGCCCCTGGGGGTCCCCCGGCGGAAAGTACCCGCAGCCCGACCACTGCTACCCAGAGATGGTTTTCCTCCTGGGTGTGGCTTCTCATGCCCCCCAGAGCGCGCCAAGAGTGCCCCAAGAGGCCCCCAAGACTGCCGAAAGGGCCCCCGAGACGCCCAAAGAGCGCTCCAAGACGCCGATGATGACCCCAAGACGGCCCAAGAGGCCTCCAAGTGGCCTGCAAGAGGCCTTACAAGAGGGCCCCAAGATGCCAAAGTCACAAATGGTACGATGGTTTTGGAAGGATTTGGGCCTTGTCCCCTTTTCGGCCATCCGATGCTCCAAGACGGCCCAAGAGGCCCCCAAGAGCGCCCCAAGACGGGCAAAAAGGCTTCCAAGAGGGCCCCAAGAGGGCCCAAGAGGGCCCCGAGACGGCCCAAGAGGCGCCCAAGACGGCCCAAGACGGGGTCAAGACGGCCCCAAGAGGGGCCCAAGAGGGGGACCACGAACCGGAACCTCGAGCCTTCCGCCCCAAGAGGGCCCCAGGAGGCCCCGGGAGGGCCCCAAGAGGCCCCAAGATGCCGCCAAGAGGCCCCCAAGAGGCCCCAGGACGCCCCCCAGAAGGCTTCACAAATGCATCCCAGGCACCCCCGAACGGCTTCTCAAAAGACCCCAAGAGGCCTCCCAAAGAAGCATCTTGACGACGACCCTGTTTGGCCCCAAGAGCAACACAAGATGCCAACGAGAGGCTTCCTCCTCCGCCCCTTCCTCTTCCTCCTCCTCCTCCTCCTACTTATCTTCATCCTCCCCCTCTGCTTCTCATCATCTCCTCCTCCTCCCCTCCCCTTCCCCATCCTCATCTTCTTCTCCTCGTTGGCGCCACAATGGCCCCTGGCCCACGGCGAAGCAGTAGCGATCATGCAACATGGGCCGGGGGAGTGAGCAAAGCGATTGAATAAACCCTCCCCCAAAACTCCCTTCTTCACGTGCCCCTACAACGGCTCATGTCCACCGAGGGAACTGCCTCGTTGGAAAACAACTGTTTGAAGACCGTGCAGCATGCCCAAACATTTTTCTCGGGATTCCAACGCCACGGATCAACGTGACTGCTGCGCCGTGGCGATCGATCCTGAATCGTGCCAGAACGCCACTCCTGGAACTTCAACACAACGAAACAACGTAGCTGTTGCGCCCCCTTGATCTGCAATCCTTCCAAAACACTATTTCTGGGACGTCGACTGTGGGAATGCATGACGCTCCCTTGCCCATGTTAAAAACGAGTGTGTGCGGCGGCGTTCAGGCGAAAACTACATTTTGAAAAGAAACCGCACCCCTATCCGTGAAACTCTTGCAATAATCAAAAACGAATGTGACCAACGCTAAGACGAGAAAGACATTTTGAAAACGGCCCGCCCAGAATCCGCAAAACGGTTGCCATCTTTGTAAACGAATGTGCGCGGCGCTGGCGCGAGAGCCACAATTTAAAAACGGCCCGCTCTCAATCCGTAGAACTCTTGCAGCTGTCTAGACAAATGCGCGCGGCGCTAAGGCGACAGCCACATATTGCAAGGGGCCCGCCCTCCATTTTTGAAGCGGTTGCCGATCTTTAAGCTTCAGAGTGGTCAGCGGTGAGGAAGTCCAAGGCGCAACAACCGACCCGCCCCGAAAACTGGCTTCGGGGTGCGAGAGGGAGGCGTTATTCATAAGGAAGTGGAGCGGAAGAGGAGGAGGAGGAGAAGGAGGAGGAGGCGGAAGAGGAGGAGAACCAGTGTAAACCCAAGGGTCATCAACGATGTTGGAGTACACCCTCCCCCCAAGCTCCCATTTCACATGCCCTCACAACGCTTCATTTCCATTGATGGAACTGCCTCGTTGGAAGACACCTGTCCGAATACCCTGAGGCATGCCAAATCATTGTCTGCGGGATCCCAGCGCCACGGATCAACCTGACGGTTGCATCCCGGCGATCCTGAATCGCGCCATAACGCCACTCCTAATACTTCAACACAAAGAACGCACGCAAACGCTGCACCCGCTGCGCGCGGCGCGGAGGCGAGAAACACATTTTGAAAACCAACCGCCCTGAATCCGCAAAATTAATGCATATGTTTGAAACGAATGCGCGTGGCGCTACAGCGGGAACGACATGTTGAAAACTACTCGCCCTCACTCCGCGATGTTACTGCACCTGTTTAGAACAAGTGAGCGCGGCGCTGAAAACTAGAGCCACATCTTGAACACGACCCGCCCTCAATCCGAGGACGACCGAACGACTCACTCGCACCCATCGCGCACCGCCGCTCGCCGACCGCTGCCTGGAGCCGGCTCGCCGCCAAGGCCGAAAAAAAAACGCGGAGGAGGAGGAGGAGAAGGACGAGGAAGAGGAGGAGGAGGAGAAGGAGGAGGGGGAGGAGGACGATGAGGAGGAGGCAAGAATAGGAGGAGGGCGGGACAAGACATGACATCCGCATGAGTAGCACGAGAATAGTATATTGACGCAGCGTGGTACTGATACGTTCCAGGGATTCCGGGATTCCTAACCAGTTTCGCGCGGGGTCCACTATGCGTCGAATATTGTCTACTCTGGCTGGCGCCGCTGGTCGGCCACCCATTCGCAATCGAGTGGTCGCCCGTACGGGGCTTTTGGCACTTGCTGATCCCCTTTCTCGTTGCCGAACGCGAAGGGGACGGCGGCGCACCGTCCCAGCGCCCGCCGCCGCGCACCGCGCGCCTCGGAGGATTTCCAAAGACCTGGCGTGGCAAATCACGCGCGACTCTTGAAAATTCTCCGGGGGTGAATTTGACAAATTCCGGGGACGTTGTTGAACATGTCCGGCCTACTTTTTGAAAAATTGCAGAATCGATGTTGAAAACTTCCGTGGCGGATTAAAAAAAAAATCGGGAAAATCCGGAATCGTTTTTTTTTCGGATTTCGGAATTATTCAGATGTCCTGCGCGGCGGGCGCATCCCCCCCCTCAAACTTGTTTTTTTGTTTGAGAAATCCCGTTTTTTTGGGGGGGGGAAATTCCGGAACCGCTTGGTTCCAGAAAACGGAGACGTTTTCCGAAATCTTCTACAATCCCAAAAATAATTTCCGGGCGGTCCGACGGGCGCGGCCGGCTGATTCTCGCACCGCGCCGCGCGCGATTGGGCGCAGCGCGCGCCGCGCGTCGCGCCCGCGAGCAGCACTCGAAGTGGCCACTTCGAAAACAGCGCCACGGCAGCTGCGACTCGCGGACTCCCCAATATGAAGGGACCCTGGGACACACAAGTACATACACACAAATAAAAATACTCCCCATATTTTCATATATATTTTTGGGGGGGTTTGACTTAGCCCCCAATTCCAATATTTTCCTATATTTTCTGGGGGATCGACGATTAATTGTGTCTGTGTGTTTTTTCCCCTCCTGACAATAGCAACACAGCATACAGCTGGGCATCTCCGAGGGCGCTCCGGTGCGCGAAAAAAATCCACCGCGCACATCGCGCAGAGAACCCGCACGACGGAATGCGCTCGACCGTTCGTCCCTGTAGCCCGCGCGGAAGAACAGGAAAACCTGGACAACCTTCAAAACTAACAATATCAATACTTCATGCTCCTCTGAATGAGTGGGTCCACGTCGAAACGCCCGCTAAGGAGCCGTCGGGTACGACTTGCAAGATCCCCTGCGAGTGGAATTTGCCGCAGACCCAGCCTTCTCATGGGGCCGGCAGGGAGCGTACCCCGATGCTCTGAGGAGCGAGCTCCGAGGAAGCCCCGTAAGAGAAGTTCGCTACCTTGCGAATGCGAGTCCATACGGGTCAGTGCGGGGGGAGCAGCGGCTGGCCCTCCCGCGTGGAGGGAGGAGGAGGAGGAGGAGGACGACGAGGAGGGAAGTGGAGGAGGAGGAGGAGGAGGTGATTGGAGGTTTTCCGGATGCGGCCCGAGCAGACGGGGCCGAAGGATCGCGCCACACCGAGCTGATGGGGCCGAAAAATCGCGCTGCATGGCCGCTGCATCGGCGATGCATCGGCGCCGCCGGCGTGGAGAGAAACGGGCTCCACATCGAGCTGCATCGCCGATGCTTCGGCGATGCGGCACGACCCCCCGACCCCATCCACTCGGACCCCATCTGGGAGGCCTAGACGAGGGGCGGGGGCGAGGGATCGCATCGCAAGAGAAAGTCATCACACACACACACACACCCGATAGTGTTGGAGCCCGCTCCGTTTTCTTCGAGGTAACGCCCGAGACCAGCCCCGCCCCCCCCTCCCCACTTTCCCCCTTGGTCACGGCACAGTTCGCGCCGGCGCCCCTTCCTCCTGGGCACGTCACTCCCTTTCCACCCCGCTGCCCCCTTTCCCCCTTTTCCTCCTCCCCCCTTTCCCCCCTCTCCCCCTACCCCCTGCCCCCCCTCCCCCCACAGGTGCCGTCGAGGTGTGAGCCACTATCAGGCATTCCCAAGCGGCGCTAGCGCGAATCGTGGCGTGACTGGCCACCTGCCCCCCTCCCCGGTCACGCCCATAATCGCCAGGGGATGAGAAAACGGCTCCCAGACACACCTAACACACGAAGGGAGGAAGGCCAGGACTGCCGATACTGCGACTCCCCCGACCACTCTGAAGGGGCCCTGGGACACACAAATAAACACACACAAATAAAAGGATTCTCCATATTTCCCAATATGTTCTAGGTTTTTGTCGTCCCCCCCCAATCCCCATATTTTCCAACATTTTCTGCGGAATCGACGAGTAATTGCGTTTGTGTTTTTTCCCCTCCTGGCACTCCTGGGGTGCGACCTCACCAGAGTCCCGAAGCCAGCCGTTGCCACCAGTGGCCTTCGTGGAGGCCCAGCTCGGCTGCAGACGAGGGCAGGGCAGCTGTGCCTGGCACGCCCGCCGCCGCCAGAGGAGCACAGCACCGTCTCTTGGCTCAGGGTGGACCTGTCCCCCCACAGGCGGAGTTCGTTCTGTTCTTTCACCGGCAATATCCAAAGACCTACATGCATCGACATGTAAAAAAGACACTCAAAACATCGCCACCAGACCATGTTCGTACAAAACTTAATCAATGGGCCCAAGGACACACACATAAATACACACAAATAAAAGTATCTCCCATATGTTCCCATATTTTCGGGGTTTCTGTCTTCCCGCCCACTCCCCATATTTTCCCATATTTTCTGGGAAATCGAGGATTAATTGTGTCTGTGTGTTTCTTTTCCTCTTGACTTAAACACTCCTCCCGTAGAGGGGCACGCCCGACTTCACTCTCCTGGTCGCCCCTCCCCCGCGGTGGGCGCGGCGCGGCGCGGAGGGCCGTCCGGCGCGCGGGCCGCGGAGGGCGCCCGCCGCGCGCCCCCTCTCAGAGGAGCACGAGGCCGATGCCGCAGGGCTCGATCTGCCGATGCCGCCGGGGCGGGCGGGGCCGCCGCCGCCGCCGCAGAGGCGCCCTCGCCGTGGCTACCCGCCGTCGCCAGCGGCGGCGGCGACGATAGGGGGCCACCTGCGGACCCTACCCCTACCCCCGACGATTTTTGAGGGGGAGGGGGGGGTTCACTTCGCTCGGGAGCTCTCGAACAAAGTGAACCCCACCCTACCCCTCAAAAATCGTGGGGGGTAGGGGTAGGGTTCGCAGGTGGCCCCCTAGACGATCGACGGAGGACGACGACGGCGAGCGCCGACGACAGCGCCGCCGACGGCGGCGCCGCACCGCCGGGCAGGGCCGCTGCCGCCGCTGCCGCCGCTGCCGCCGCGGCTCACGCCTCCGCTCGAGGATCGGGGCTCGGGGTTTTTGCCTCCTCGGAGGCCTCCCAGGTGTGGTCCGAGCAGAGGGGGTGGGGAGATCGCGCCACATGCGAATGAATTGCCGATGCATTGCCGACACGTTGGCGACGTCGGCGATGCGTCGGCGACGCCCGGGTGCCAGAAATCGGGCTTCGCATCGTACCGCATCGGCGATGCGTCGGCGATGCGGCGCGATCCTCTAACCCCATCTACTCGGACCCGCTCTGGGGGGCCCGGGGTGCTGGAGGTTTCTGATCGTCTTGGGGGGACCCTCGCTGCCACGGCCAGATCTGCCTCGACATTCTGGACACCCCAGGAGAGGTCCAGAGATCGATGCTTTGACACCTGAGGAGGGGGGAGGAAGGCCCTGATCTCCAACGCTGTGATAGTTTCAGCCTGGGCGCGATTCCTCGATGTCCGCATCTGCGGGGCAACAGCATGGGCACAAGAACGTCCATCATGAACACGAGTCCCTTCGCCGAGAGCCCAAGGTCCAATGGAGATATGCCGAAAGAAAGCCATTACAAGGCGGAGACCTCGAACACGCAGAACATCAGGGTCACCCTCGAAACCCTCGTTCCAGCTGCAACGGTAGTGGATCTGACAACTCCTTGGAGGCCTTCCATCGAACGCTTGAGAACCATCAAGCACACATGTGTGGCCACTGAGCCGGATGAGCCCAAATTCTCTGGAAGTGAACCAGGTTAGGCGGGAAAAGCAGGATCCGACGGGATCAGGAGCAGGCTGGGTTTCGGCCACGGATCTATCGGATCGGCGCCCGTGCTGGCTCAAACCTGCGCGCCAAGCCGCTCCTCCTCTCTCTCGTCCTCTCTTTCCTCCTCCTCCTCCACCTACTCCACCTCCTCCTCCTCCTCCTCCTCTTCCTCCTCCTCCTCCTCCTCCTACTCCTCCTCCTCCTCTCCCTCGTCCCCCCCCTTT